TGGCACACCTCATCCTCCAACCCCGAAAACGATGCCAAAGCCTGACAACAACTTCGATGCCGATGTCCTTGCCGGTTTGTGGGAGGACGCGCCATTTGCGCGCTTGCCTCCCGATGCGCCCCCCGAATTGAAGGACATGGTCCAGAACATCGAGAACCCCAAGCGCGTCTACGCCATCCACCGTGCTAGTCGCCGGCACAACTTCCAGATCCTCGTCGAGATGTAAGCCGCCAAAGTTGTCGCTCTGACTCTCCTATGGTGCACGAGCTGACTGGGTCCTTTACAGATACATCCTCCAACTGCGATACGGCTGCGATTCCAAGACGTGTACGACATCCACCTGCTTCTCCTGTCGCAAGCGCCTCGCTGGCAAGGCCCCCATCAGACGATACAACACCACCAGTGCGAGGACATTAGCTGTCTACTTGGCGAGCCAGGACAACCCAGAAACAGGACTGTGCCCAAACCTGAAGCCGTCCAAGGAGCCACCAGCCGCCGTCAACTCGCTGATATTCTCACCAAACCCCGCCGCCCCCGCGTTTACCGACCCATTCTCGAAACGGCCCTCTACCCCGAAGGAACCCCGCCGCCGGAAATCAGGCTCTGCTGTTCGCGTGAACGGCGAATGCAGCAACTCCAACAAGGCTTCCACGGATGCCGAGGGCAACAGTCGTCCGGGATCTGCCCACAATGAACGGTCGCATTTCGACTCCTCCACTGGCACCGCTCAAATGCCTGTCAAGGTCACCGAGCGACCCATCAGCAAAGACTACCGCTCTTTCGCCGCCAACGTATTCGGTAGCGTTGCTTTCAAAATGCTGGAATGGCTTACTCCAGCTGGTCTGGACGCCATGTCCCAGAAGGTTGCCGCTCTCGAGGCGGATGCTGCGCCCAGTCCTGGCAGGGAGGAGCTTTTCAGATCTCAAAAGCCGTCCGGACAGTCGACACCAATTCAGGCGATATCGCCAGTGATATACGCCGATACGGAGGATCAGAACGACTTGCCGGAGCCAACGGTAGAACAAGGGCCAGACGCTGCCTTAGAGCAGGCCTCCGAGAAGCTCCATGCTTCGAACCCAACCATGCCCAACTCGCGACCAGGCAAATCTAAGAGGAGCTCGAGTGCGAGAGTGCGTGCCAACTCAAAACCGAAAAGGAAACTGTCTATCGAACCATACCCGACGTCATCGTATTCGGAGGATGTCACCTCGGGGCTAATGTCTCCCAGGGTCAATGGTAGTCAACATGAGAAGCCGCCTAGGCCGCCAAAAGCATCGCACATCAACCCTTACGCTATCCCGGAGATTCCGTCAACACCGTCGTTCTTCGACAACGTCCCATCACAAAACCGACCGGTCATGATTGTTCAGGAACCAGAGACAATATCTAAACCGGCTTTGACCAACGGAGGGGCCCCCTCTGAGGCACCAAAAGCGGAGTCTCAAAGTCCTCCGCAAACCGAGCCAGTCGGTACTGAGGCCCCTGCCGACGACTGCAAGAAGATCGAAGAGCCTGTCGAGATGTCGATGGCCGACAGTCTGCTCCCGCAATCCTTGACGTCGTTGAATGTGGAGGTTGTCGACCTGTTATGCGATATCCTCCAAGACGACGGCACTTCAGAATTGCACCTATTGGATCCTGCCAAGATCACCAGCACATACTCTGGTCTCAAGGATCGGCCAAAGATGGAAAGGAAACGGACATCTCGGGGTAACTACCCAAAGCGCCTGCGGAGGCAGTGGAAGTTATTCATCGAGCAGACCCTGTTCAATATTCTCAGCGACCCGCAAAGCCTCGTCTCATCCTTCGTCAAGGACGATGAACTTCTAGACTCTCACACGATCTGGTATTGCATGTTGCGTCTTACCCGCGTCGCTCCCAGTCTCGTCTTCCACAGTTTGTGGCTGGCCGCGGGTAGTCTCTTTGGCGCGCCAAAATCGCTCCAGTCGCTTCGTTCTCCCACCACAAGAGTCTTTCGTCGGGAGCGATCGCTTGCCAACGTGGAGGCGGGCCAGCTTTTGTCAATCTGCTTGCATGCTCTGGTTGCGGCGGCTCCATTGATCACCGATTCGAGGACACTCTTTGATATGTCTCGTATCCGGTCCAACGGCCTCACTGTGGCTGGAAGTGGTGCTCTGGCACGGCAACCAGCCTGGCTTTGCCTTCTCTACGATGATGCCTTCTCGAATGACCTTGCTCTGAGGCTAGCGAGAAGATTGTTCGCAGCGATCTCAGCTCGCAAATGTTTCGCAGAAATGGTTGCTCAGGATGACGATATTGATGACGACGAGCAGGAACTGGATGCTCTGCGACCTCTCCTTACGCAGTTGGATTCTCTCAACGGAGACTTGGCATCAAATCCCGAGCTGGAACAGCTTGAACGAGCCGGACATGAGACCAGGGTTTCTACTCTACTTTTGGATTGGGCCAAGACGGTGCTGCTCCAGGAATGGGATGGCAAGCCGGAAATTTCTTGCGATGGCTCCTTTGGCGGAGCCTTGTCGCTCATAGCCGCCATGTGTAAGTGGTGTATGACCCAGCGACTTGAACATTGCAGCTAACTTTCGACAGATCAAAAACGACAGTCCCTTCTTATTGGAGACGCCCACTTCCGAGTGGATTATTTCGCCGACAGGCTGGACTCAATCAACATGCCAGTTGCATGGCTCTCCCATACATCCCACAGACAAAAGAAGCACCTCCTGGACTTTCCCTTCATATTCGACCCATCGACGCTGGTTTCTTACTTCCGATCGATTAACTTCTCAAAGATGAGCCGAAGCTACGAAGAGTCAAGTTCTCTTCAGACGAGGATGAAGGCGATAGTTGCTCCTGGCGGCCTCATCACCAATCCTCATCACAAATTGGTCTTGCAAGATCTTCTCAAGACGGCGTCTTCAAAGTACCTAATTCTCGAGATCAGCCGGAAGCATGTCATCAGAGACGCATTCGATCAGTTGTGGCAACGCGAGGACCGAGAGCTTCACAGACCATTGAAGATTCATCTTGGTGAGGAAGGTGGCGAGGAGGGCTTTGATTCTGGTGGTGTCCAGCAGGAGTTCTTCAGACTTGCAGTGGCCGAGTGTCTCAACCCGGACTACGGCGCCTTCACAGTCGACGAGCGAACGCGGATGGCCTGGTTCGTCCCCGGCTCCATCGTACCTGTCTGGAAGTTCGAAATCCTGGGCTTGCTCATGTCACTGGCCGTATACAACGGCCTGACGCTGCCAATCACGTTTCCCAAGGTTCTTTACCGCAAGCTTCTAGGTGAACCCGTCGACGAGTTGTATCACATCGCCGACGGTTGGCCAGACCTTGCCATTGGCCTCACGACTCTTCTGGAGTGGGACGAGAGCAACGGAGCTGTGGAGGACATCTTCGCACGCACCTACGAGTTCTCGGTATCCATGTTTGGACAGCCCGTGTCAAGAGAGATGGACGCCAAGGCTAGCAGCTGGCCGCAGTTTGACGCAACAGCGAGGAAATCACTCACAAGTGAAAATCCTGAGGACGCCCCGCTGGTCACCAACGAAAACAGAAACGCCTACGTGAGCGACTACATCAGATACCTCACAGACGTCTCTGTTCGCCCACAATACAAGGCGTTTGAGCGTGGCTTCCGCGCGTGCCTACACCCGAAGGCACTGCAACTGTTGACACCGTCACTCCTCCAGTCTCTTGTTGAGGGTGTCCAAGAGATTGACGTTAGCGAGCTGCGCCGTTACGCTAGATATGTCGGCTGGGACAACAGCCACCGCAGCGTCCGCGACTTTTGGTCGATCGTTAAGCGCTATGATGAGAAGATGAAGAGGAAGCTACTGGAATTCGTCACGGCATCGGACCGTGTCCCGGTGGGAGGCATGAAGAACTTGCAATTTGTAGTGCAGAGAAACGGCGAAGAAGAGGGCGAGGGCGGACATTTACCCACCGCGTACACATGTTATGGCACACTACTGCTGCCCGAGTACAAAGACAAGGAGGTCCTGAGAGAGAGGCTTTCTATGGCATTGGAGAATGCGCAGGGCTTTGGTTTTGCTTAAGGCAAATAGGAGAGGAGAGTTGCATTTTAGAGAAGCAGTCGTAAAAAGCATGGATGAAGGGATGGAGTTTTTCTTAGGCTTGATATCCTCGGCGCTCGTTAGTCGACGAAATGAGAAGTTGATCTTTGGTGAAGACAATTTGCTACACTCGGCTATCACTTGCACAACGCGTGGGGTCATGGAACCTTGATGGTTGTTACGAAATGATGAGTTGTGCAGAGGACACTGAGCTTTCATGTGCTACGAATTTTGTAGAAATGGATTCATCGCGCAACGTCAGATTAATTTATGAACATTTCAGTCGTGATCCGCACCTCTATGATGATGCTTACATAGTCAGCATTCGTCATCCTGCCGAAGGCTCTCGAAGATGATCCATAGATACTATATTGATGACATAGAATGGCGCAAAACACCGAGGAAGCCCTGGCGGATTGCGGTCTTTCCGACAGCTTCTCGATCGTTTCCCCATGGGAACCATCTTCATGTAAGCACCAGAGGATGTTTGGCGGCGATGATTGGGCTGTTTCCCTACGAATTGACTAAACAGGTTAGCAACAATGTCGAGCGACGAATTGAGATCTGTATCTGACTCTTCTGCTAAACCGGCTGTGAAGCATGAATGATCGGCCTTTCAGCAAGACGTTATGAATGGCCGATAATACGTTTATCCATTTGAAAAAGACCGATCAGGCTCGATATGGGGGTGGCACCAGCTTCATACGTGGTCGTCTATTTGCAGTGCCAAGTAAAATTCATCGACCAATGAGCATTACAGCGATTTCAAGCACCGTGATTGGATTTGTAGTAAGGCAGACAGACACAGCCTCGACTGCATTGGAGCCTGATATATTATGCCTTCGAACCCGTCCTCGCCAGTTCGTCTCCTGATCAGATCCAACATCTTGCCTGCTGCGTTGCTGACGCCGGCATCTTTCGACGATTCGCTTCAACTGCAGAATGATCGACTGGCACGCTTCAACATGTCGTCGGCCGGATCTTCGTTTCCTGCCCGGTCTAGAGGCTCATGCGTGCTTCAGTTGCGGGGGAGTTGACACAGTCGCCGAATCTTCCTCTGCGAATGTGGCAAGAAATTTCGACCTTCGTTGGCCCACTTCTTTGCCCTTCATAGACGATGCTGCCGACGATAATGGCTCAGTAGGCCCACCAAGCCTCATCAGCCCTGCTTCAAACTCAGCTGTTGAGGGGGTCACTCTGGAAACAACAACTGCGGCAACTGATTTCGGAAAAGACACAACCGCCCTGGCGAAGACGTCACTGTACACGTCCCTATATGCGCGAAAGATTCGCCTTATACGACTCCTTCCCGGCAAATACAACGATCCTATAACCTGCGATATACGAGTTGTCGACTTGCAAAGCAAACCAGAATACGAGGCGCTTTCATATACCTGGGCAGACTCCAATGGGGATACTTCCTTGTCAGAGACACTGCACGTCAAAGGCCATCATAACATCCTGCGCATCACTACAAACTGTGCTAAAGCCCTCCGGCGGCTTCGTTTTCCCTCCATGAGTCGAGTGCTGTGGGTAGATGCGATTTGCATCAACCAGGGTAACAATGAAGAAAGATCGCACCAGGTTGGAATCATGCAATATATATACGCCGCCGCCGAGAGAGTCCTCGTCTATTTAGGTGAGGGAACAGAAGAGCCCGACCCAGGAACTTTTGTTCCGTGGAAGTACGAAAACCAGGGGAATACACTTGACTTGAGCACGGATCTAAGAATGCAACCTTACTTCACGCGAGTGTGGGTAATTCAAGAAATTGCTTCAGCTCGGTCCGCCTGGATCCTTCTTGGAGCCAAAGGAGCCAGATGGGACGACTTCCTCAAGCCCCCAGACACCGACGACATCGACTACAGGTCAATGTGCATCATGAACTATGAGTTCCTCAAGGCTCGTCATCCATGGCTTCAACTTGTCAGTCAACCAAGACACAAGAACCTGAAGGAGCTGTGCAGCTTTCTATTCGCAACGGAGCGGTGCCAGGCGTCGGATCCGAGAGACAAGGTCTTTGCTCTATTAGGCCTTTTTATCGGTACAAAGGACGCCGGACTGGTTCCTGACTATACTCTCAGCCTCTCTCAAGTGCTCGTTGGCCTTACAGCATTCCTTTTCCAGCAGAATACTCGCTCATGGCCGCTGCTATTCGCCATGGCCAGTCCATCTTCTCTGGGCGACCGGCCTAATTGGGCAGTTGACTGGTCCAAACCGACGAATAGAAAGCAGATTATGCCAGGTTTGCGAACCCGGCGTCCTGCCTTTCCCGGTGCGACACCAAGGTTTTGCAAGAACGGCACCCTTGTACTCAAAGGCATCCCTCTTCTGACTCTGGCAAACTGTACTCTCACGAAGCAGGCAGCAGAAGTCTCTTCCGGAATCATCAAAGGTATTCGATATGAGCCATACGCCTCAAAGAAAAAGCGAGAATTGCAGCTCGAGACTTCGAGTTGGGCCCGCAACGGTGACAACTTGTACGCCATCAAAGGTCTATGCGATCATCTGCTTATCCTCAGGCCATTGGAATATACAAACAAGCAGTCTTTTGTTGGCATTTGTGAGAGTGTCAACACAGAATTATCCGCCGTACTGATTAATCTTCTGGACCGGAAGAAGGCCCTCCTTTTCTCAACCTGGAACGAAATCTTGGACCTTGGCATCGAGGATTGGTCAACCCCGGAGGCATGGAGCGACCTGAAAGATGCCTGTCGCCTAATCCAAACATATTGCAAGTTTGAAAAGTGGGCACCGACAATGAGACATTGGGATGAAAATATAGCAGACTCCCTTTCATATGTTGAATGGTCCAAGGGCCCCCACGGTATGCCAAGCGCAGTATGGGAGTACTATAAACACATGTACTATCAAGGCGGATCACGATTCCGTCGAGGCGTGTATTACGACGAGTTAACAGAGCCGGCCGAATACTCAACCATCTTGTCATATCTTACAGTTCACAAGAATCCCTTACTGGATCTTCGGCAAGCCCTGCATCGTTTTCGACAACGGCGAAACAAGTCACGCAAAGAGTACACTAAACCGGGCCACAAGGACAGCTGTACTTTGCGCATAAAGCCGAAATCCCCTGGGGGACAGGACCAAATCGAAATCGGTCTCACGGATTTGTTGCTCCCGATCTGCTGGTACTATGGAGAAGACCAAAGTCTCAAAGATGAAGAGCCTGTGCCAAGCCACTACTGGAAATCTGGGAATGAGTTTCTTTGGCGTCCTGGGTGCTTAGACAGCTCCGCCGAGAGGTTTTGGCAGCGGTTGGGGGCTGCATTGCGATCAGAGATAACTTATGACAACTCTGGCTACGAATCCGCCAAAAATTTCCTTCGGCGGCTGATCGGCCAGAAACTATCGGTCAATTCCAGAAAGTTTGAGGGGCTGCTACATTACTACTACCCTCACATGAATCTCAAAGGGGAGGAAGAGAATGTCTCGCTTCTGAGGTGGATCAGAAACTCATTGGAGCTTGTTCCCAATCGCAACTGGCAGCCCGAATGGCATTTCAACAAAAGTGAACCGAAGACATGGGCTCATTACTTTTGCAAAATTTGGGGGGTGCTATCTTGGCGGCCTGGGCTGAATTCCGATGGTACACCGAAACAAATGGTCTATGAGGGGATACCGGATCCTTATCAACAACCACTGGGACATATACCGAAACATACGGTCTATGAAATGCATCAGGGCAATGAGAAAATGATGATTAAGATCTTCGAGGAAGAGCTTAATGCTGGAATGTGGGCTTTCAAAGCGGGCTTCGAAGAAAGAGCGTGGCATATGCTTTTTGAAGTTGCTCAAGAAACCACGGCGCATCTGCTTCCCCTCGAAAACGCGTTTCAGAGGCAGCGTGGGGGCGCGACTTGCGCGAACAAGACGGAAGAGATGAAGTGGGAGGATGTGTACATTGTCTGATGGACTTCAACACTCATTTTGTTTATGTCTGGTTCAACACCTAGTATGGTTGTGCGTTTGCTCATGGGTCGTTCCTGAATCGCCCAGTCTTGTTTCTACAGATGCATCGAGCTGCTTAGTTTTCATAGAATAAAACCGTCGAAGTAGGGCCAGTAGTATGTCCAAGCCGACCGTAGTCTTTCACATGAAACCGCCTCTTTTTCTTGTGTGTGGGCGGCTTTATTTCCTTTGTACTTGAATACTCGTATTATTGACGAGGACGAGGAGGAAGACGACGACAACGACGACAACGACGACGACAGTAAGGCAGAGTGAGGTGCATAAACATAGAAAGAGTAGTTGCTTCAGCACAGGAAAAATAGGCTGTCTCTTTTACATCGTCATTGACAGTCCATCATTGATAGGTCCAAAGTATGTGCAACATGGTATAAGATGATACAGCGCATATATTCAAACATTACTACATTATCCGCATATACTTTTCATCCCTTCCTCAAGCCATTCCCACACTCTAGCACCCGCAGACGTTGAACTGCGCGACAGAGGGGTCATGGTCACTAACAAGGTTGTCGTACAGCTCCCAGGAGTTGACGTGGATGTGCTCATAGTGCGTCTGGTTGGCCTTGGAGAGCGCGGGGCTGACAAACATGTGGTCGAGCTGCTGGGCGTTCATGTCGTAGACGTAGGTGTAGCGCTCGTTGACGGGGATGCCGACGACCTCGTCGAGGTCGAGCAGGCCGGACTTGGAGGCGAAGGTGGTCAGGGGCTCGACAAAGGTGAACTCGTTGAAGTCGCCGCTGGTGACGATGCGGGCGTTGGGGTCCTCGGCGAGGATCTGGGCGATGAAGGCCTGGTTCTTTGTGTTAGTCTTTTGTCTTTGAGTAAGGGGAGACGAGGGAGACATACGCCGGTGACCTCGGCCTGCTCAATGCGCTCGTCGACGCCGCCGTTGTTGGGGGGACGGGGGTCGCCGTGCAGAGAGGAAGATCCGCCCTTGGACGCCCAGTGGACGTTGACGGTGAAAAAGGTCTTGTTCTGGGGGCCGTTGATGGCGCGCCACTCGGCGGCGAGGGGCTTGCGGCTCGCGCTCCACGCGCTGCTGGCGGGCTCGATGCGACCGGGGTTGTACTTGAGCGTGGGGCCGGCAAGGACCTCGTTGGCGTCGGTGCTGCCGCCGGGGTTGGGCTTCCACAGCTCGACGACATCGGGCCTGTAGAGGTAGGCGACGCGGATGTTGCCGCCGGGCTGGCCGCCGTCCTGGCCGTCGACGGGGTCGATGGTGACGAAGTCGTAGACGGTGCCGTTGGTGTGGCTCTCGATGGCGGCGGTCAGGGTGGAGAGGGTGACGTTGGAGGAGACAACGCCGTCGTTCGTCGGGCCAGTGTTGTCCTGGATCTCCTGGACGAAGATGAGGTCGGGGGTCTTCATGTAGTCGGCGATGTGGGCGGCGATGGAAGGAAGGTGGGCGGAGGTAGGGGCGAGGTTCTCGACGTTGTAGGCACCGATGGTGATGCCTCTGCAGTCGCCACTGCTGGTGAGGGTCGTGGCCGGGGCGTTGTTGGCGGCCTCGCTGACGAAGGTGATAGCGGTCAGGGGGAGGATGCGGTAGAAGCCGAAGGCGTAGGTGACGACACCGGTGATCTCGGTAAGCTGGTCGCCCATCTTGGACTCGGGGTTGCTGGTGCCGTCGAGAGGGGAGCCGATGACGATGGCCTCGGGGTTGGAGTCCTTGGCAGTCATGGTGATGCCGCCGTGCTCGTTGCGGCCGGTGGCAGGCCAGTCGCCAACAACCCAGGTGTCGCCATACTGGTTGGGACGGGTGACCGCGACCGGGTTCTTGACAGTCACGAGCTCGCCGCTCAAGCTCTCCCAGAAGTCGAAGCCGTAGGACTTGGGGTCCAGGACAGGGTTCTCGGTGGAGATGTTGGCGACGGCATTGGGCACGCCGTAGATATCGCCGCCGTCGAGGCTGGTGTACTGCTCGGTGGGAGGGTTGAGGGTGTCAACGCCGATGACGAGGGGGGTGACCTCGTTGCCCTTGGACACGACGACGACGTTCTTGGGAGAGCTGATCTCGGTCAAGTAGATGTAGTTGGTGGCAGACCTGTCAGAATTGTGAGCTAAGAGCATAATACAGAGCAGTTGCGCAGGCAAGCTACATACCTGTACTCCGCCACCTTGCCGTCCAGAGTAACAATGTCGCCAACCGTGAGGTTGGTTCCGACAGAGCTGCCGTAGACGTAGACGGCCTCGGAAGTGGCATCGTCGTCGTCGGGCTCGGTGGAACGGATCCAGATGCCGCTGGGACCCTTGGCAAGCACCAGACCGGTGACGTTGGTCACGGTCTGGTCCTTGTACAGGGACAGGAACTTGTTGCCGTTGATCTCGGCAATGGTGAGGGCCGAGACGGCGCCAGCGGCGGAGAGGAAGAGGGAAGGAATCTTCATCTTGAAAGGCACGAGGCGCGGCGCGTCACGAGTCAAAAGAGTCCCAATTGAAGGCGCGCAGAGGCGTGTGAGAATGCGGTCACAAGGCTCTTCCTCTGGATCGGCGTCCCAAGCAGAGAGAAAAGATCATCGCAGCGGCTGCCCGTCGGGGTCCCGATCCTTATGTACAGCGATCGAGCTCAACTTCTTGGCATTCTGCCGCATCTGCCCCTCGTGTCCCCCCTGGACGAGGTCGTATCGAAGGCGCGAATGGAGTCGTGCATCGCTGGGTCCCACGGCGCACCCGCCCTTGCATCGCGGAAGCTGCCTCCTTTGCATGTGAGTCTGGCGTCTTGGCGGATGCCATTCTTTGGTGCTCTGTGGATTATCGATGACGACTCAACGGCCAGCTCCGATATTGCAGGTCTCGAGAGACCCTCTGACTGGATGGGAGCATCACGGGCATTGTCTATCATGGCAGGGGGCGTATCAATTGGCCTCTTAGAGCTGGCGGTGCCTGGCACGTTTTCGCGGCATTCTCTCAGCCGTTCAGGAGCAAGGGCGTTGCTCGATCGGGAAGGTGAAGGGTCGCTGCGAGCGCGGGAGAGTCGCCTAGCTGGTGTCTAGCTCCAGTGGGGAAATATTAAGTCTAAGAAGAAGGGTGTGGGGGAAAGGAAATAACGTCCAAGGCGAAGAGAAGCATTTGCTTTTGAGGGTGGCAGGGCAATATACAACTGTTGCCCGGCAACTCCATCTGAGATCCGAGGAGCTGCTGGACCCGGCCTATGAGAAGACAGGCAATGAGTCGCCAGTTCGACGACACGCCGGGCCAATTCCCTGGCTAGGAACCCAAGGTCGAGTGGACGCGTGGTGAGTTGCTCTTGTTGGCCGGGAGTGGTGGGAAGATGTTGCTGTCGCGGTGGAGGTGCGGAGGAGATGGCAGGAGATGGCCGGAGCAAAGACCAGCTTTCGCAGGGGTGCAATTGATTGAGTTATGGCGCTAATCTGTGCCTTATCGCCTGCCAATCACTGGCCTCACGTGCTGGATGACTGCAAGCCGACCCCGGAGCTGCATCCTGGTCCCTAATTCTTAACGACTGCCCCTGTCTCTTGCTGCTTTCACTCACTCACTCACTCAACCAGTCACTCACTCATGACCTCACTCATCGACTTTGACACAGTACTCAGACTCCCATCTCCGTCACAACCCCCGAAATAGAAGCCAAACCAATATCACGCGCTCACACAATGCAACTCATCTGTTGTATGAAAAACTTATTGTCTGATTTCCGTTTTTCTGGTATCATATCTATCATCACTAAAACAAGACGGTCCGGCCCTTGAAACTGCAGTGCACGCCTCACTCAATTTCCTAAAACTCCCCCCTCCAAGGCCACCCATCCATCCATTTACAAAGTTGTAACCCAGAGATGAACATGATGCCTTTTCGAAGTAGGATCCCGTCCATGAGTGATATCCCCCGCAGAAGCCTTATACAAAGAAAAAATCACCGTCTCAAACCCATGACAATTTCCTCTGTTCTCGGCAACGACAGGAGAAAAACAGCCGCTGTCCATCTCACATTCTGAGAATTAGCTAGGCTATTTGCGCGCACCACAAAAGAAAAAAGTGTTTCGGTTTTCCTAGAACACACGCACATGAACAACGCTTTTGGGCAACAGCTCTACCAGCGTAGCTGCCTTTTCCTCTGGCCGTCGGCAGCCGAAACCCAGATGTCTCCGGCTCGGCCGCCTCCCCGTCCTTGGACTTTGGCACCTAAGAGGCCCCTCGGGAAGCATTGATGCTCCCGTTTACTCCTCGTCCTCAGCGTCGTCCGCGGCTTGACGGGCCTCGACGTGGCGGTCCTCGAGCTCGGCACCGTCGTCCTCGACTTGGCGTTCCTCGACGTCAGCAGAGTGCTCGTCACGTCCGAGAAGGCCGTTGAGGAGCGCGAGGGGGTCGTTCTGGCCAGCACCACCAGCAGCGGCGTTGTTGTTACCAGTGAGCTGCAGCAAGAGAGTTAGCACCCGTCATCATCAAATGGTATGAGTTCTCGTCATGAGAGTGAGTGACTTACATCACCGAGAAGGCTGCTGAGGATGTTGTTGCCACCGGCAGCGTTCTTCTTTCCAGTGGCTCCATCGGCGGCACCTCCGGCGGCGGCGTTCTTGCCCTTCTTGCCACCCTTCTTGCCTCCGGCGTTGGCGGTTCCGTTGTTGGCGGCGGCACCTCCGGCGGCGGCGTTGTTCTTGCCCTTGCCCTTGGCCTTGGCTCCATCGGCTCCAGCAGCGGCGGCGTTCTTGCCCTTCTTCTTGCCTCCGGCGGTGGCGGTTCCGTTGTTCGCGGCACCTCCAGCGGCGGCGTTCTTGCCCTTCTTTCCGGTGGCCTTGGCGTTGGCGCCCTGGGCCTTCGCAGCCTTGGCCTTCTTGCCCTTCTTCTTGCCTCCGGCGCCGGCGGTCGCGTTGCCCGCGGCGGCTCCGGTGGCTCCTCCGGCAGCGGCGGCGTTGTCCTTCTTCCTGGCGAAGAGGGCGGCAGGGAGGTCGTCCTCTGATATCAGGTGTTAGTCGGGGCTGG